TAGAAAATATATAATTTTAACAGTGTCCGCCCCCCCCCCCCCGAAGAAAGTCTACCGCCCCCACCCCCCCGAAAATTTCAAGTGCCCCCCGGAGAAAAAAGTCTGGATGAAACACTGCTCTGTATCTGTCTTTTTTTCACTCGCTGTCACCCTGTCCCTCTCTGTATCTCCCTCTCTGTATCTCCCTCTCTGAATCTATGCTCATGTTATTCTCACTCTTTGTCTCACTGTTCATCTGTATCTCCCTCTCTGTATCTCCCTCTCTGTATCTCCCTCTCTGTATCTCCCTCTCTGTATCTCCCTCTCTGTATCTCTGTTCATGTTTATCTCACTCGCTGTTCACTGTTCCTATCTGTCTTCCCACCTCCCTCATTCCTTTACTGAATCTCTATTAAACCACACCAGTTTACCTGGTTGTAATACAGTAATGTATGGAAAACTTTCATGAGAAACATCTGAAAAAGTTTAATGAAAAACATGTTTGGCAAACATGTATAAAGAAACGTGTATTAGAAACTTGTATGCATATTCTGTATGAGTATGAATAACTTGTATGAGAAACATGTATGGGAAAAATTATGAGAAATGTTATTACAAACTTATATAAGTAACTTGTTTGAGTAACTTGTATGAGAAACTTGTATGAGAAAATTTATGAGAAATGTTAATACCAAACTTGTATGGGAACCCGTTTGAAACATGGTGTTGGCCATTGACTTGCCAATTGATCCTATAATGACCTGTTGCTACCATTACACAGAATTAAACAAATGCCAGCTTGTGCTAGAGTTCGCAGTGTGGTCCCACGTTTGGCTAGTTGGCCAGAACAAAATTCTGAAATATGAAGGATTCTGTCACTTGGGGACGATCAACAAGGCGGATGAAAAGGGCTTGGTCTCCTTCAGTGGCCGGACAATGTGAATGGGTCACGTGGCAGGACAATGGCCGGTTGGTACTTTTATCATCCTGACATGTCAGGGACCCATCAGGTCAAGCCTGACCCTGGGGCGTCCTTGAGGCACGGTACGGGGGGGGGGTGGCACGACCAACAAGATTGTACTATTTATTGAATGAACTATTTTGACAAGTTTGAAATTAGTTATAATAAATGTTTTCAGTAATTATCGGTTAAGTTGACTTAATGTTCCCTGAAATTTTTCTCATTAAAGTTTTACATTTATTAGGGTTGACTACGAGGGAATCTAAAGAATGTTAACCCAGTTGTACTGACCATTAGGTTCGAGTACAATGCTCAGGTTCTCGTTATACGAGACGAGACTAGGAATCTTTATTTACCTTTCTAAAAGAAGAACTTACTTTAATGTTTGTTAACAAAGAGAGTTTTTTTTTTGTTGTTTTTTTTTTAAAGTTCCCTATCTCCTTCTTCTTCGTTCTTAATTTTAGTTTTGGAAGAGATTCCCTCCAACACAATTAAGTATACGTTGACTCCTGTTTCAGCCTGCTTTTCTTTTTGAATTCGCTTCCATGGCCCTTGTCCAACATAGAACAAACTACAAGGCACCTAGTGTTTAATTTTAGAGTTGTCTCTCCTAGCTATCGAGCCTTATCTGCCCAAGGGCTCGAACTCGAGACTTAACGGTTTAGCAACCACGAGCTTTACCAACACGACCACACAATGGGTCATTGTTTCAGTGGCCTCGGTATATGAAGGGATAGTGTGGTCAATAGTAACACAAGCCGCCTTTACTTTCCCTAACGTGAGTCGGGTACCCATAATAGCTGGGTGGACTCAGGGACGTTGTACTGACACGAACTTGGGATTCGAACTCAAGACTTTCTGGACAGCAGTCGTATACTTTACCATCCGGCTACGAGTTTTGAATGATATAATGTCTGCAACAGTATTTAAAGCATACGTTAAACGTCCGTTCGGGCATTTTTCCCATTCGGGCAAATGTCCATTCGAGCAAAGCGTCTTTCTGGTGAATGCCCGGCTCCGCAAGGTTTAAAACACATGTATTTTATACACACGTTTTTAAAACAACAATCACAACACCGCTTTAAACATACATTATTTTAAAATATTTCTAATGTAGTAGAACAAGGTTTTAGACAAAGTTACACAACTTGTTTTCTCAAATACCAGACAACCCGAGTCTTTAAAAAGTTCATCGTCTGCTTGCATGTGCTGCAGAAACCGTTAGACCTGGGCGACCTTGAGACGAAGACAACAATTAAGTGAGAAACACCGTGGCATTAACTGGGGTATAAACATGTTTTCATATCGATCCACGACCTTGGCCAGCCGCCCATTCACCTGTCGTACATACAGGTCGAGACTATCAGCTTCAAATCTGATGAACATCCTCACATCGAAAATACACTGTTGTCTTGTACAGGGGAAGATATTTTGTTGTTCGTTTCTGATGGGATGCAAGTCGATGATGGCTCGCCATGATGAGTGATGCCGATAAGCCTGTATAGTAGGTCAAGGAGGGGTTGTTAGCTTATCCTTCTTGTTCTCGGGAATTATTACGGGTTTGTAAACAAAACAAAAAACTTCGATAGGACAATGCAGTATAGTATCAAGGTGGGATTTTTTTTCTTCTGGAGTTTATGTAAGCGTTGGGATTAAAGTTGACTTCAGTGATTGAGTTTAGGGTTAAGGTTGGAATACGTACTAGAGGGCTGGTAAGTAGGTCACCAACCAGTTCTATGGCTCATGCAGGTTTTATTGAGCCGTAGAACTGGTTGGTGACCTACTTACCAGCCCTATACATTTAACAATTTCTTGGAAATACTTGCACAGCATATTTTCATTTAACTGAGTTTTCTGTTGCTTTTCCCTCTTTATCTTAATTTTCATCGCAGACTACATCGCATCGCAAAACATTCAAGGTGGAAAAGGGGGTGGGGAAGGGAATAAGATGTAGAAGGTGGGAGGGTATGATTTATATTTAAAGCTTATATAAATTAATTCTTAATCCAACCTTAATCTTCTTATCGGTATAACACCATAACGGCTTTAAACCAGCTCTTAAATACGTTAACCCTTTACAACCTGTGAGAAGCAAAGCTCGCTACGTTTTCTTGACGGCGGCTTTATAGTCCAGTAGTTTTGTCTGGCGCTTAATCAAGCCTGGTGTTTAAACACGCCATTATTACATACACAACATTGTTACATACACACCATTGTAACATGCATACCATTGTTACTTACACGCCATTGTTACATACACACCATTGTGACATACATACCCAACATTATTACATACACAACATTCTTACATAATTACACAACATTGTTACATACACACCATTGTGGCATACATACCCAACATTGTTACATACATACCATTGTGACATACATACTCAACGTTATTACATACACAACATTCTTACATACATACCCATCATTGTTACTTACACGCCATTGTTACATACACACAATTGTTGCATACACAATTGTTGTATAAGCAACATTGTCACCTCATTGTTCCATAGCTTATGTAACATTTTTACCTATACAACATTGTTACACACACCCTATAAAACCAGATTCAACTTCTCTACACCGCTAAAAGTTTTTCTCTTAAAATAATATTTATTCTAAAAAAAGCCGTATCCTATAATCACGTTCTGATAAAGTCTAGATTATCCAGACAGCACGTATTTAAACATTCTCCCCTTCCCATTCTCCATACCCCATCCATCACACGCAAAATCTTGTGTTACAATAATATACTAGTGCACCTTACCTACCTGTTAGTTAACTTACCTGCGAAATTCTCTAAAAGTCAAATCAGAAGTACCGTTAACTCACCCCCCCCCCCCTGTCTAAGGTACTAGCCTTTTCTGAGATCGTTGGGACTATTTTTATAATACGGGCCGTTTGTCGGAGATAGCAGATGACGTCACGTAATCTTCCCACCTGCTCAGACTTACCTGCGGCGACCTACGTGTGGCTCACTAGAGTACATTCGTTTCTGTGTGAGTAAATAATAAAAGGTGTGCTAATACTTGTTGTACAATCTCGTACAGGGTGAACTGTACGGATAATTTACATGGGTGTTTTCTGGTATAGAGAGATAAGGTAAATCTTGTCGTCAGTTTAGTTAGGCTGATTTTTTTTTATTGGGGGAGTGAATGGGACGGCTTGGTCAAGAGTTAGAGCGCTAGTCTGCTAATCCGAGTCAGCGAAACGTCCCCGATTCCATCCAGCTCTGATGGGTCTCTGACTCACATTAGGGAAAGTATCTTATCCCTTCATATGCCGAGGTCAAGAAACATATGAACTCAACTTCATCTGCCCAATGGATCGCTAGGTCTAAAGAGGAATTTTACTTCCAGGGTTGCTGGGTGGTAGAGCACACTCGACTGATAGCACAAACTTTTTGACCTAGAAGCTGGGGATCGAACTTCACTTGGACATTTGTGAGTCAGCTCAGCATTAATGGGTGCTTGACTTTTTTTCGGGGTAAGTCAATGTGGCATGTAACAAAAACTATGTGCAAGGAGAAAGATGAGCCCTAACATCCACACTAAAGACTCCCTAACTTACTGCAATATGGTTTCATGGCTCGTGTCGTTTTTGAAAACTATAGATCAAAAAGACATGTTGGTTAAGTCAGAGGGTTGTACCGAAATTACATTACACTATAACACTGCCCACTTACACAGTTTACATTAGGTCATGACGGCAGTGTATCAGTGTGTGGTCAAATCACAAAGATGAATTATTGCACGATTCCTAAAGAATCGGCTTTTTAAAAAAACTTCATAGTAAAACTGTTGGTCCCTTTACAAATCTTTTCTACTATTTTAAGCTACTGTTACCTAAGTGTCTACTATTAATACTATGTTATCTTATTTTGAGTGCTCTTAAAAGCTAGTTATATAATTTTACCATCATTATTTATTATTCTGTTACGTATTTTCAACAGAAAATTGCGAACTGATGTATCAAGTTGACACTCAGAAGACTTGACTGAACCTACAGAACCAATCAGATTTCAGTCTTTAACTTACCGGAAGTCGACATGGTGCTGGGTATAGTCCAGTCAGATAAAGGCACCAGCAGTAGTCTTGGAGTCAGAGGAAGCCACCAACAGATTGTACTGGGCTTTGGGCTTGGATAAGAGCGACAGTAGAGGAGATTTGCCTCAACTGTAAGGGGAAGGTCATTCGCGATCTTTACAGGGCTATGAGACGTGGATATTAGCGACAGTGTCGGATATAGTACAAAGGGAAGTCATCATCAGGCTGTGGTAGAATTCAGAGTTGGATATCAACGAATGTTGGAGATAGTCTTAGTGTGCTATACGATTTGGATATTAGCAACAGATCGGATGTAGCTGTGGTTTGAGGTTTGGATAAAAGTGACAGTGTGGAAGATAGTACAAAGGGAGGTAACCAACAGGCTGTAGTGGGCTATGAGCTTTGGATAAAAGCGACAGTTGGAGATAGTACAAAGGGAGGTAACCAACAGGCTGTAGTGGGCTATGAGCTTTGGATAAAAGTGACATTGGAGATAGTACAAAGGGGGGTAACCAACAGGCTGTAGTGGGCTATGAGCTTTGGATAAAAGTGACAGTGTTGGAGATAGTACGAAGAAAGTCACTAACAGGCTGTAGTGGGCTATGAGCTTTGGATAAAAGCATGTCCCATGCAAAGGGTTCCGATCTTGCTGAAAGAACGAGATCCAAGCTGATTCGGGAATGGGACGTTTTAATATCGGATTGTTCGCATTCGGCGTGATCTTCACCGTCAGCTTCGTGCTGGAGGGTAAGTTGCTGAAGTTTTGTTGTGTGACGCTGTGTAGCGTTGTGTGATGCTTTGTGACGTTACGGGACTTTGTGTGACGTTTGGCTGTGACGTTGTGCGACGTGGGACGTTTGGCTTTGTGACGTTGTGTGGCGTTTGTGAAATCATGTGAGACTATTATCTAATATATAAAGCTCAGTTCTGTAACGTGTGGCAAAAAAAAAGTTTGTCGTTGACAGTTCTATGGATTTAAGTGTTAGATTTTTTATCGTGCTCATAGTCTAAATTTACGAGTCAAAAAATTACCATTGAAAGTTTTTAAAACAATGTTCACTCTATTTACTTAGAAGAATAATTTTCAATTATGAACGCGACATAAAATGTTTAAAAAGTGTATCGACGTTTATAAAATTTCTAAAATTGTGTCGGAAATGTATTGACTGCACAGTTACTTCCCTTTAATAAAAAAAATTCTTAAAAAGAAAGAATTTACATTTTATTACTTTGTTTTTGGTGTTAAGAAATAAAAAAAAAATTACATAATTAGCGGGGATTGATTAAGTGCAATGTCGTTAGGTATTTTTAACACTGCCTTTTATTTATTCTATACACTGAACATACTGTTCAATAATTTTTTTTTTTAAATCAATAACATTTAATAAGCCAGGTCCTACAAATCATATATGTTTATTTCTTTCCATTTACGGATAAGCTTGGAGTATTATCATTTTTGTTCACTAAATTGAAACAGGCGCGTCCGCCGGCGCCCTTGCACGGTTCGATTTGGCACCCTGGGCTATCATGTGAGCGCTATGCTGCATAGTTTTGTTTTAAACAGTGCGATAGACTATGGGTAAGAAAGGTTACTATAGTCTTTAAGTGAATCAAATCCGGGCGTCCTCCGGCACCCCGACAGGGTGCTATTTGGCGCCCCGGGCCTTCCGGTGTACGCTATGGTATATACGTTCGCGTGAGTTCAAAAGACTATGAATAAGTTATGTACTATAGTCGTTTACTAAGTTCAATCAGGCGGTGACGTCATGGTGCGTCCTCTGGCGCCCAGACAGGGTGCTATTTGGGGTCCCGGGCCTCCCGTGTTCGGTTTCGCGCCTACGTTAATTAAAGTGAGTGCAAAAGACTATGAATAAGTTGGGGTACTATAGTCGTTTATTAAGCTGAAACAGGCGATTCCGCCCCGGGCTAGACTCTGAGCACTGTGCGTTTATGTTCGCGTTAGTGTTTTCTTTGTGTTTAGGTTGGGTTTGCGTTAGTGGTTGCGTTTTTATTTGGTTCGTTTTTGTTCTTTCTTTTTTCGTTTTCGTTTGTGTTTTATCTTCTTTGCGTTTGTGTTTGTATTTGTGGTTGGTTTTGCGTTTGTATTTGGTTTGTTTTCGTTTGTGTTTTTTTCTTTGGGTTTGTGGTTGGTTTTGCATTTGGATTTGGTTTGTTTTCGTTTGCTTTATCGTTTGTTTTTTTCTTTGTGTACGTATTGGTGTTTGTGGTTGTGGTTGGGTTAGTTGTTAGGTTTTTGTTTTCGTTTGTATTTGTAATTGTGTTAGCGTTATGTTTGCGTTTTGTTGTTTTGGTTTTGGTTTGGGTGTGCAATGCCGGGTTTATGATGATTACTAAACACACAGGTAATGGTCTTTAACAGAAAGGTTTTTCACAGAAGCCAGAGCAGGGCCTGGCCGGGACGGCTAGTTACTTATATATTGATAGACGCATTATTTTTACCCACTTTATTTGGCTCAATTGAAATCACAGAACCAGTATTGAATGTAAATACAAACAAAACCGCTAACAAACCAAACCACACACAAGCACAAATACAAAATACACCCACACCAACCCAAAATGCTCACCAGCCACGTAAAAACCATCGCGCCGACCTTGACTATGTAAGAGCGGACCACCGCAGTGACCTTGACCTAAGTAAGAGCCGAACCACCGCGCCGACCTTGACCTAAGTAAGAGCTGGGTCCCGCCATGCTGTCATCGTCTAGACTATGACGGGAGACAAATGGTGCACGGACCCGCCCCTCTTGTGTAACGGTCCCTCACTAACCTACGTCACATGAGTCATACCGTCTGGGTGATGATGTTTTTTTTGTTTTTTTGGTGGATGGGAGGGGGGCGCGACGCGGTGGGTCAATAAGAAGCGCCAGACTAAAAATAGATATGACGCAACACGTTGTTGTATGTAGAACGGGTCACGTGGGTAGTGGTAGCACCATGTGGTGGCGAAAGTCGGGTCGTAGTTCTACCCCAGTGGGCGCATGCTACACCAGTCTGGTGGGTTACTGTAAACAGATCACATTGTCGATGTTGTTATGCCCATTTCCACATTATAAATCGTCAAGAAAAGCTTAATTTTTTTTACATCTTACATCATTGGCGCTACGTTTTTTTTTAAATTTTTTATCACTCTATCAATCTAAAAAAATATAAACGCCATGTTGCGCTTTTTTTGTTAAACGCCCCCCCCCCCCCACCGCCACCTCCCCACATACACACACCATGCCCTACATCACTTGTAGCCAAGCATCATTACACTTAGCCTCTTATAAGAGTGCGGAATTAACGTATAAGCTACTCAAGCTAGAGCTTAGAGCTCCTACTTTCTTAACCCCCCCCCCCCTCCCCCACCCCCACCACCACCACCCACTCTTCTAAAGTATTATTTAAAACTGTTCTTGGCATGATGTCGCCAATTTATAATTCATTCATTTAAAATTTTCTTTTTTTTTCAAAACCTTTCGAACACATTTTTTTTTTAAATCGGCAAGCTTCTTACAAAGATTTGGCACCAATGTTTATCTAAACAGCGTGGTATGCGCGGCCTCGCAGTAATTCTGACCCTGACGCGGAGTCATTTTGTAAAATAACATATCCTTGTATAAGATAACGCCGCCACCACAAAATACACTTTTTTCTCCGTAAAGGGAACGTTGTTTGAAACTGATATATATTATTTGGACTTGTAGGGACCCTTATTGAAAATAGTATAGAGACTTATAAATCAAAATCCGACCCTGTCCGTTAACGAATATATATATATATATATATATATATATATATATATATATATATGTATAGTAAATAGGTACATCTTATAAAAATTATATATATATATATATATATATATATATATATATATATATATATATATATATATATATATATATATATATATATATAGTGTGTGTGTGTGTGTACCTGCCTGCCCCCATCTTCTAACATTGTGGGGCCTGGCAGCATGCATGGTAGTTCCACCCCTGTTGACGGTGCTTTAGACTGCTATCCACAAATTTAATTAAACAAACTGAAGCTGCCACAAATTGTGTAATTCTGATTTACTGCGCATGTCAGGATTTAATTTTACCGGATGTGTAAGATGAGCTATTAAAATGAGAGGAAAAAACAAAGCAACGAAAAAGTGTAATTTGAATATTTATCGAAATGAACGTTCTTCATAAGAGACAAAAGACTTAAAGTTTAAAGAGAAGTTGGGATGTATGAAAAGTATGAAAGAAGAAACGAAAAAAAAAAAGAATGTCAGTTTGAGCGCAGGAATGAGTGCACTCTTTTGTTCGTGTTAGCAGACGATTAGCGCACGGTGTACCGTTGAACTCAAGGGTACACCCGGCTTAAGGGGGTTTATGGGGGAACAAGGGGCGGGCTTGACCCGTCGTTAAAACACAGCCGTCCTCGCACACATTCGATAATCCGGTGTTAATCCGCGTTAAAAGTTTCCCGTGGCCTGCGCATGTCAAGAAGTCAAATCCATTCAATGATTAGAAACAAGGGGATGTTATTGAGGATTTGTTGGGTTTTTTTTTTAAACTAAATCAAGGGCAATTGAAGCTAGCGGGGTTGGGTAATGAGAATCTATGAACAATGAACGCCGGCACAAGCTGAACAAGCTGACTACAAGCTCGGGTTTGTGTGTACAGATGTTGATCAAACAGGGACATAACTCGCGTTATGTTTGCCGCGGGATCTCGCGGGAAATATTCAAACAGCGAGAAGACGAACAAAAAATATCCGACGGGTTTTGAGATTACCGAACAATCTTGAGTCTTGTTATTTCTTTTTTATTTTAAATTTCTTCTTAAATTTGTCATTTAAAAAAACTTTAATATTGGATCATAATTTGACATTGATATGCACACAGCGTATCATTGATAAAATACGCACGCTCATCAATTTTTAAACAAACATAATTTTAATGCCTCGTCTGCAGAATTTAAAAGTGCACCCCAAAAAATGAACATATTTCATAAAATGCACTTTTGCAAGAGAATTTTTGTCCTAAAATTCTAATTTCTAATTAAAATGATGCTTATTACAAAACTATGCGTTACAAAGCCATACTTTCCTAAGCGCAGTTGCTATGGTAAAGAATAAAATTAATTCTAACGTTAAAAGTTCTTTACTATTTTATTTACATTTCTGTTCTACACAAACACACACATGAATGGGGGGGGGGGGGGTAAAATTGTATTTAATGTTGAGATCCCAAAACAAAAACGATTCCCAGTTAACACGATTCACAATAATGATAACTGTTGACAATAATTCTCACTACCTCTGAGCACCTAATTACCCCTCACCCCTCTTTCCAACAAACCGCCACTTTCTCTGTTCAAAATGTAAACAACAATTTAGTAATATCGCAGACACATCATTTTTAAAAAATCGCGAATATGCTAATAAATAAAACAAATTGTAACACATTGCTATTCAGTATGTAATAAATTATAGATTTTGTCATACTTCTGAAACCACAACATTGTTCTTAGCTTGCATAAACTTGGTAGTAAAATTCCTAATGAATGAAATAGTACCGGAAGTACACATTTCTGATAGTGCCCTCTATAGCTACGCACTTCCGCCTCAGGAAGTTGGCGGTGGGCGTTAAATACATTCTGGAGCCATTAGATTACTAATACCGTAAACCTATTTAAAGTTTAAATGATAAGAAATATTTATTTTTTTCCCTTTTTTTTTCTAAAATATTA